GTGACGATTTTTTCAAACTGTCGCTAAAACTTATAATTAGTGACATTTTCTGTGACAATTTTCAAATTGTCGCTAAAAATTAACAATTAATGACGTTTTTTAATAGTATTTGATGAAAAACGTCATTAATTCTCACATGACCTATTGGATAATAAGTCCATCTATTAGGACCTACACGTAAATCCTCCTAAATTTAATTTATATACTTTAGAGATTAAGTATACTCAATCCATAGTTCAATAATTAAGTAAATAATTTGACGATAGTTTAAGAATAGAAAATATTATAAATCTTGATATAAATCTCTATGTATTTTTCTTTGTATTTTGTGTGTGAACATACTTCAATGTTTGTAGAATGCAATAATCTTTACAAATGGTATCAAAACCATGATCATCAATCCAAAACTATGTGAGAGATTTGAAACACATTAAATTCTTTTATCTCGTTTGAATAGATCAAAAAAATTGATTAAAACATGAGAAAAAAACAACAATGATAGAGACCACTAATTTTGGAGTTCTAAAAAGACCACTAATGACATGGCACTCAATAAAAAAAGAAAAAAAAATACAACACCAAGACCAAAACATTAAATCATTCTTGGTGGGGCCTACTGCCACATCATTAGTGATAGCACTAATTAGTGCTCTCACTCATTTTTTTGAAAAAAAAATATGAAGTAATTCGCAAACAAGAGAGAGAGAAAAGAAACAAAAATAAAAAATAAAAAATCCATGAAACATCGACTCCATCAAATTGTAAGTGGTTCAATTTGTTTTTGTAAAAAACATATGATATTTTTGTCTTCAGTCTTGGCAACTGGTCAATCTGGCTTCAACCTAAAATTTAAGGTGGAGGATCAAGCTAATAAATTTTGACTACTCAATAGATCGAGCTCAAACCGGCCTCTCGTAAAATTCTTAAAGCCCAAGTCCTAATCATAAGCATAAAATTTGGGCTTGTGCTAGGCTTGGCCCAAATGGAAGTAATTTAGTCCCAATTTAGAAATTTTTTTATTAAACTCATAATTCATTGGAAAATCAATAAATAAAAAAAACTATAAAAACAAAATTTTAAGGTGCACCACAATCATTAGAATTTTATATTGAATAATCAAAAATAATTAAAAAAAATAAACTTTATTTATTGAAATACAAAATTACGTCAATTATGTCATTAAATTGTATACATTTTTAATCTCATGGAAAAATAGCCACTATTTCATCATAGATATGCTATTCAATTAGTTTCTCAGGTTGTCTTACTGAAAATTAAAAATTAGAAATTAAGTAGTAAAAACTAAATGCTGAAAATGTGTAACAATTCTACAAAATGATACATTTTAGTATTTAGTGCAAAGTGATATATTTTTTTATCCAAATATTTTCTAACCATAAAATGTGTAAAAACATCACAAAATACGTAAATTTATTTCTCAACTACAAATTGTCGCAACTCTTACCTGAAAAATATTAACATTTATCATAAAAATACACAACACACCACAAAAACATTAACAAGGTGTGTATCATAGTGTTTCCCTTATCGATATTCAAATCTTATGGGAAACTTTTATATTTTTATATTTTTATTTTTATATATAAAAATATAAAAAAATAATAATAAACAAACATATCATGGTTCGGTTCAAAATCGTAACCAAAACCTTGGAACCAGAAAATTAGATAGATTTGAATAGTTGTATCATTTTCAAGAACAAAATCAAATTTGAAATTAATAAAAAAAATCAAGGGATTTTTGGTGAAATTCCTGTTTTTTGGGCCTTTTTTTAAGATAAAGGACAACTCAATGAATTCTTTTTCAAAAAGCACCTGAGTAAGAGAAACCCAGCTCAATAAGGACATTCTATAATTTGTTTTTTTTTTTGTGACCATATTGCCCTCATATATATATATATATATATATCATATATTTAAACAATCTCAACTGATGCATACACCGATCTTGAAGACGATCTGCAAAGTGAAGATGATCTGCGAAATCCATGAAGACGATCTCAAAGTCTGAAGATCTCACCGCCGACGATCTCACCCTTGGTCAACAAACATGATCTCGCCATCCAAGATCAACACTCTCAAATTAAATGAGAGATTACGTTGCAAAGCTGTATAAATCTATTGTTATTTTTAATTTGTTTTTGTTGATTTGCCGAGTTCAATCAGGTGTGTGCTCTATTTTTGTTTGACATGATGAAAGTAAAATTTTACTCTGATTTGTGCTCTGTTTTTGTTTGACAGAATGAGAGTAAAATTTTACTCTGGTTTGTGCTCTATTTGTGTTTGACATAATGAGAGTAAAATTTTACTCTGTGTGTTATCTGTTATGTTTTCTTAACATGCAAGTAAAATTTTATTTTATTTCAGAGTAAAATTTACTCTAAATTGAAAGTAAAATTTTACTGTGTTATTGAATTTGTCTATGCAATTTCTGATTTGTTTTCTGGTAAAATTTACTCTGAATCTTCAAGTAACATTTTACTGTGTTGTTGAATGTTTATCTATGCAGTTTCTGATTTGTTTTCTAATAAATTTTACTGTATTTCAGAGTAAAATTTACTCTGAATCTTAAAATAAAATTTTACTGTGTTATTGAATGTTTGTCTATACATAAGAGAATAAACTTTATTTTTCATTAACCAGAGTAAATTTTACTGTTGCGAAAACAGAGTATATACTAGATAAATGAATTATAGTCGAATTTTACTTTAAATCTATGAACAAACAAACAAACAAACAAAAAACTCTCGATTTTTTATTGTAATATATCAATTTATTATTTATTTTTTTGACATATATGAGGTCATTTTACCTCAAATCTAAAATTATTGATCTCAAACATGAGTTCATAGGCATCAAATCTGAGATGGTGATGGATTTCAATGGACGATTTCAAGATTTCGATTTTGTGAGATAGATCGAAAATGGAGATCAAAAGGGTTTAAGGCTTAGAAAGAGAGAAAATAAGGGAAGAGAGAGGATACCAGTAATGTAGAGATAGAAAAGAAGAGAAATGGTTCAGCGAGGGTTTTGGATTATATGGAAGGGCATTTCATCCTTTTCATCATATTTTTTTATCTGAGGGACTTTTGAAACTATTATTTTATTTGGTGGGCTTCACACAAAAAAGCCTCCATAGAAGGGGCTTTTCACCAAAAATCCCAAAAATGAAATCAAACCAATGATTTAAACAGAATTTAATCGAATTTACCAGTCTCACTAATTTTTTTAGCGCCCTAACTACAATCCCAAGCAGCTTCCTTAGTAAACAGTTCAGGAAAGCCATAACAGCCAATGAGCCACCCTATTACAAACTCTAGGACCAAATATGAATGAGCATTTTTTGCAATTTTGAAACCAATTTCACACGTTAAATTTCGAATTTTATATAATAGATTTCTAAATAAGAGTTTAATGTTCAGAAGTAAATATGTTTGGATTTCAAATTTTTATTTTCTTGACTAGACAAGTATTAGATATAGTAACATCAATTTACATAATAATTTAGTAGGCTTTTGTTAAATTCTTTTGCTCACTTGAAGTTTTCTCTAATATTTTTTTTTTTTTTTAAACTCAAAAAACCCTAGATCCGGAGTCTTGATAAACTCTGGGGCATGCATGCGAGCGAACCTACCCATAGGACCCGCCCCTTATAAGGTATTATCAACGAGAATCAAACATAGCACCTCCAAGTTCAAGGTTGATACTGATGACAACCTTGCACCATTATGTTACTTGAAAGTTATTTTAAAGTAAGATTTTCTATGGACTAAACGGTACAGCTTTTTGGTTGTAGGCTCACATCCGGCCATCTCAATAATTTAAATCGTTCGTTGGGTAAAATTTATTGAAAAGATTGATCATGCAAAAAATTAAATTGATTAAAAGTAGTTAGTCACATGTTTAAATCATAAAATTATTAAAAATTAATAATAATTTGTGACATAGGTAAATAGTATAAGATTTTCTTGGTAAATAAAATAATAAACTTCTCTTTCTAATCAACTCAACTAAACATTCAGGTCTCGTTCATCAACTATTAGGGGTGGGCGCAGGTCGGTTGCGGCCACAGAACCTCTAATCCGCCATTCGTCCGCCAGATTGGCGGATTGGAGAAAATCAATCCGTATCCGTCCGCCAATCCGGTGGATGTAGATTAAGCGGATTGGCAGTTTGGCGGATGGATGCGAATCGGTTTGGCGGTTTAAAATTTTATAAATTTTCAACATAATCCAACTTGTGCACTTCTTCAAAAAAAGAAGAAAAAAGTATTACAGTTAATGACTTAAAAAAATATTACAATCACTGCATGCCAAGCAACCCTTCCAAAGCGTCAGCTCGTTGCTGATAAGAGGATGGGTCAAACCGACGGCGCCGCAAATCTGATGACGTTTGGCTTGATGCCCCAGCTGTTGCATTTTGGCCAGAGCACTCACTTCCATCCTCTCCATCCAACTTCATTGTGCCTTCAACTCTCTGCCAAGAATCTGCAAAACTTAGCCGGCGAAAGTTTCGATCACATACCTGGACCATACATTTGTCTTTCATGATTGAACGATCAACTTGTGGCGAGGTAGAGGAGCCTTGTGCAGAGTTTGATGAAGTTCTACGGATGGGGGTGAAGGGGTCGTCATATGAGGCTAATGGAAATTCAGCCATCCTGTCAATTCGAGGTTCATTTACAGAAACATCTGGAGATTTAATGCAGTCAAGGATACCAACATAGGGCTTGCAAGGAGATCCTTGTGCAATAGTTCTCACAGGCAATGGAAAAGATGCTCTACGATTTGAATTACCAATTTTTTTTGTTGGCATTCGTGAATCTGAAAACTGCCAATAAAACCATATAACATCTAAGAACTCCACCTCAAAAATAGAGAAATTGTAGTTTCAAGGCTCCAAAATCGTAAAATGTGAAGTTCAATCTAATGTCAGGACTATGCAAAGTACAAGCTGGTACCGAGCTGATATGTTAGGTCACACAGTGAACCCAAGCAACGACCAGTAACCGAATGCAGTAGTACGGTGAAGCAGAGGGGCCGGAGATCAACATCAAAATCAAGTGAACTACAACTAGAACTGATAGATATTACAAAGGAACAGGACATTTCATCATCACATGTGAAACCGGCCAATGCCGACAAGAACCAACACCCATGGTTGATCAAGCTTTACCGATCAACAAAAAAAGCCATCAAGGATAGGGAGTGTGATGATTCACCACAATCCATCAGCACAATCAGTGATAATACTTCCAACAACTGCAAATCTTTGACTGCATATGAGGTAACTAATATAGGAATGCTTTATTCCTCAGTTCTAGTCTTCTTCGAAGTTCAAAGTTCACCTTTTGGCTAATACCTGAAATTTCTTTGATGCAGCCTCCTTTGAACCTATACTAACTGTTCAAACAGTTGAAGGCATCAAACATCTCTCCAAGGCATCTCAGGGGTTTATTCTCAATCCATGTCAACTGAGATTGCATTTCAAACACTAATTGGTTGTGAAACTATACCATCATACTAAGTTTATCTAAAAATAGTGCAATGGAGTGCTGGTTCTCAATGCCATAAACAACATGTCATGTAGAGATAGATCAAGGGGTCGATTTGGCTATATACAATGTCTCAAATCAATTCACAGATCACACATTACGTAAATTTCGTGCAGACAAGCCTCATTATCATTATTATTTTGAGTATTTGGCCAAATTATGCTGTAGTGAAGTACTCATATACAACCCACAATACTGAAAAGAAAGAGAAAAACAATTTCATTGAAGAAGCTTTTTTGCAAGTTCTAAAAGCTGCAAACCTTCATTTGCTGTTGGTAGTAGTCCTCCGAAAATTAAATAATTCACAGATACTTATAATAATCTTTCAGGCTAATTGTCAATAAAGTAAACAGGAGAACAGGAAATATGTTTGACAGGCTTTTCACCCATCAAGCTAACTAATCTTACATGCAGATATCAGATATGGTACACTAAAGGTCCATAAAATTCCTATCCTTCATCTCCTATTCTGCAAACTTCAAAATTCATATCCTAAAACGCCTATCTGAATGCAAAATAATAGAACTGCGAACGTGGAAAAATATAACAAGGCAAGAAAACCTCACTATGACATTGGTGTTGAACAATTATAGCACACGTGTACGCCATTCATTGTTCATGCCCCTCAAATTGTTAACTGTAAATCTAATATCCAGCAACTGTTCGAAACCATTTTCAAACTGCTCTAAACCGTTTTCAAATTCAACCCATCTTCATTTCTTAAACCACACAAAATCACCCGGGTAGTGTATATATAAATATAGGATGAATATCAAGTGATGGGTTAATTTACAGGCAAGGAGAGCATTGTTTGCTTTAAGAGGACTGGTGAAGTTACAAGCACTTGTGAGGGGTCACCTGGTAAGAAAACAAACAACGGCCACCCTGCGTTGCATGCATGCCTTGATAGCAATTCAAGTCCGAGCACGAGTTCAGAGGATCCAAGTGGCTGGGCATGAACCACAGCTTCACAATAAAAGGCCAACAACAACTCAGACTCAGAGGCTACTGGTTCAGGACAATCAGCAGCACAGAAAAGCATATACCACAAGTGCTGTAAGTCCAATATTTTTATTTCTGCAGCTTCTAATTAATTCCCATTTCACATATATTCACATAATTGTGTGCATATACATATATATAGGGAACAATTAGGGAAATCAGTGAAACACAGGCACATCCACAGGCAGGTTTGAAGAGTAGAAGTGGACATGTAGATAACCAATTCAGCAGCAAACATTGTTCTGGAAGAGTTTCGATCTCAAAACGAGAACATCATCAACTATGTCCTAATCCGTCAGAATTGACTGATATGAACTCGTCAAGAAACCACAACAGTCAATATGGGGAGTATCATTCCTTAACTGGATCACAGAATAGTAGTCGATACAATTCTCCCACGGCTAAAACAAATCACCAAATGAGAGCCCCTTTTGCCATTCCTCTCCCAGAACATGATCACTACCCATGGGCGTTGCCTAATTACATGGCAAATACAGAATCTTCGAGGGCAAAAGTTAGGTCACACAGTGAACCCAAGCAACGACCAGTAACCGAATGCAGTAGTACGGTGAAGCAGAGGGGCCGGAGATCAACATCAAAATCAAGTGAACTACAACTAGAACTGATAGATATTACAAAGGAACAGGACATTTCATCATCACGTGTGAAACCGGCCAATGCCGAGAAGAACCAACACCCATGGTTGATCAAGCTTTACCGATCAACAAAAAAAGCCATCAAGGATACGGAGTGTAATGATTCACCACACTCCATCAGCACAATCAGTGATAATACTTCCAACAACTGCAAATCTTTGACTGCATATGAGGTAACTAATATAGGAATGCTTTATTCCTCAGTTCTAGTCTTCTTCGAAGTTCAAAGTTCACCTTTTGGCTAATACCTGAAATTTCTTTGATGCAGCCTCCTTTGAACCTATACTAACTGTTCAAACAGTTGAAGGCATCAAACATCTCTCCAAGGCATCTCAGGGGTTTATTCTCAATCCATGTCAACTGAGATTGCATTTCAAACACTAATTGGTTGTGAAACTATACCATCATACTAAGTTTATCTAAAAATAGTGCAATGGAGTGCTGGTTCTCAATGCCATAAACATGTCATGTAGAGATAGATCAAGGGGTCAATTTGGCTATATACAATGTCTCAAATCAATTCACAGATCACACATTATGTAAATTTCCTGCAGACAAGCCTCATTATCATTATTATTTTGAGTATTTGGCCAAATTATGCTGTAGCGAAGTACTCATATACAACCCACAATACTGAAAAGAAAGAGAAAAACAATTTCATTGAAGAAGCTTTTTTGCAAGTTCTAAAAGCTGCAAACCTTCATTTGCTGTTGGTAGTAGTCCTCCGAAAATTAAATAATTCACAGATACTTATAATAATCTTTCAGGCTAATTGTCAATAAAGTAAACAGGAGAACAGGAAATATGTTTGACAGGCTTTTCACCCATCAAGCTAACTAATCTTACATGCAGATATCAGATATGGTACACTAAAGGTCCATAAAATTCCTATCCTTCATCTCCTATTCTGCAAACTTCAAAATTCATATCCTAAAACGCCTATCTGAATGCAAAATAATAGAACTGCGAACGTGGAAAAATATAACAAGGCAAGAAAACCTCACTATGACATTGGTGTTGAACAATTATAGCACACGTGTAAGCCATTCATTGGTGTTGATCTTCCTGCTTGAGTGTGTTTTCCTTGAAGCTCTTAGTCAACCAGATAGCAGTTTCTCTCGGAGAAACCTTTCCTGGTCCAAATGGCTTCAACAACACCCCAAGTTCATCATACCTTTCCTCGTGCAACAGTCTCGCACTAAATTCAAGCAACCCTTCCAAAGCGTCAGCTCGTTGCTGATAAGAGGATGGGTCAAACCGACGGCGCCGCAAATCTGATGACGTTTGGCTTGATGCCCCAGCTGTTGCATTTTGGCCAGAGCACTCACTTCCATCCTCTCCATCCAACTTCATTGTGCCTTCAACTCTCTGCCAAGAATCTGCAAAACTTAGCCGGCGAAAGTTTCGATCACATACCTGGACCATACATTTGTCTTTCATGATCGAACGATCAACTTGTGGCGAGGTAGAGGAGCCTTGTGCAGAGTTTGATGAAGTTCTACGGATGGGGGTGAAGGGGTCGTCATATGAGGCTAATGGAAATTCAGCCATCCTGTCAATTCGAGGTTCATTTACAGAAACATCTGGAGATTTAATGCAGTCAAGGATACCAACATAGGGCTTGCAAGGAGATCCTTGTGCAATAGTTCTCACAGGCAATGGAAAAGATGCTCTACGATTTGAATTACCAATTTTTTTTGTTGGCATTCGTGAATCTGAAAACTGCCAATAAAACCATATAACATCTAAGAACTCCACCTCAAAAATAGAGAAATTGTAGTTTCAAGGCTCCAAAATCGTAAAATGTGAAGTTCAATCTAATGTCAGGACTATGCAAAGCACAAGCTGGTACCGAGCTGATATGGAAATTAATAATTGATGAAAACAAATACACAAACAGATACCTAGACATACACACAAATTTATGCACACATTTTTAATATTATAATTTTGAAAGTTTATCAGTTATTGTTGGGACCAGCCTACATTCATACCAGGAATATCAACTTATTCTAAGCCTCATTCCTCGAAGAAGAATGTTTGAGTGAAAATTAGTCGAGCCTAAAAGAAGATTGCATGGTTTTAAATTTTGGACTAGGAACTTTATTAAGTTTCAAGGAGAGATGTAGCCATAATATGTCGCAGTTTATGTAAAGCTAAAATTATTTTGATTTCTTAACACTGATTTTATAAATTACAAAAGATTTACTATGGTGGTCTGATCAAGTTTCCATCATTAATAATTACCAATCTAAAACAAAAGCCATATTCAATTGAACAATTTCTTTCTTCCATCATTCATATCATATTCTAATGTAAACTCTATAAAAAACAAACAAGCATTTAAAATTCACTTTGTTTTGTTTTTTTTTTTTTGGGGGGGGGGGTTTTTTTTTTTCCTTTTTTTTTTTTTTTTTTCTTTGCTTTTGCTTTTGGAACTTGCTTTCTAGATATATAGGATTTCAAACAACTGGCAGTAATTGTGCATGAGTTTCACCCACTTCCAACAAAATGGGAAAATGAGTAACATTAAAAAGAATGTATGTTGATAAACATGTCAGTTTTGGCATTCACAGGAACTAGAAATGGAAATGTAGTTAAATGTAGAGACAGACAAATGTCCAGACACATGCAAGCACAGGTGTATGACTGAAATATATATTAGTTTCACATGAAGTAGAAATGGCCTGTAGTTGCATGTCAACACAGACACAAGCATGCACGCACGCACAAGCACACATATATGAATGTAATATATATTAGCTTCCTTTGACTTACTGATTCACGGTTCTTTGAAAGCTCAGCTTGCTTCTTAGGGGGGGCAGAAGCCTTTTCTGGAGTCAATCTTGTAGTTTTGCCCGTATTGGAAGCTTTTGGAATAAATTTTCTAGCAAAGGTTGTGACTTCATGAGTGCTTCCGACAGACATTTCTTCTATCCTTTGATTCACATACCTTGGAATTCGTTGATTTCTTTGAGAAAAAGATGAATCTTCTGCAGCTCCAGAAATACTTGGATTTAGAGTCCTGTCATTGCCATATGAATGCCGTTTCTCTTTGTACATGGAAACAGGAATATCTTCTGGCTCTATAAATTTAGTTTTCTTCATGTACTCAGTTTCATGCCAGTGTGTCGATAAACTATTACGCCTGGGGCTATTGAGTTTCAGTTGAACCTTAAGAACATAAGGCTGGAGATGTGAGTGCCTTAGAAGCTCTGCTGCCTGCCAAAACATACAGATAAATTCACAAAGTTAGAGTGCATAAATTTCAACAATATACATACAGGCCCCCAAAAGGGGTGTATTTATTTTGTAAAGCCACTGTTTGGTTATGCCTAGTAGAAGTACTTTTGAGAAGCCATAATAGCAATTTACTCCTTTTATTGTGCTTCTTTCCAGAAAGTCAATCAACTGGCATATTGCTAGGAAAAATGTAAAATTTTATCGTAAATACAAAAAGCCGTGCACATGGGGGTTGGCAATGGTAGCAAAAGCACTAGTGGCAGATGTATCGATAGTAGCTGGTGGGAAAGCAATACCAATGTCTTCAGCTACCTTGATGAAGTGGGTAACTGCAATGTCAATGGTGAAAAGATGGGCAATACGAGAAGAGGGATGGCAACAATAACAAAGGAGATGAGGCAGCAGTACTAGCCATGCAAGTTGCAAGTGATGCAAAAAATAGTTAAGGCATCATGTTGACAGACTGCAGTTATAGTAGTGCAGTTACATCTATAGGTGATTGGTGGTTGCCTAGCAAGAAAGAATAAAAAATTATACCAAAACAGAAAAAACAAAATAAGGGTAAATTACAATGACACCCCTGAGGTTTCTGTTTAATACAGATCCCCCTCACATTGGAAAAATTACACTTACCCCTCTATCAAATTAAAATGACATATTTCCCCTTTAGCCTTTATACATATAAAATAATAAAATAATGCAAATATTTTGTTCATGTCATTTTAAGAGAAATAACAATCATCTTCTTTGGTTTAAGTCACACAAAATATTGAGTTTTTTTTATTTTTACTGAATTTTTTTTAATTTTACTAATTTTTTTTTATATTTTAAGCATTTTTTTATTTTTTTTAAATACACCTAATCTAAATATACTTAAGAAATATAATGTTTTGTGATTTTTTTTTTAAATTCACCAAATATAAAAAAATATAAAAAGTCAATAAATTATCTTATTTTGTTGTATTCAATGAATATTTTAAAAAAATTGCACAAATTTTGTACTTTATAAATATATCTAAATTAAATTAATCTAATCTAGATATAATGGTGGAAATAAAAATGAAAAATTATATTCATATATAAAAATTTATACAAAAAATATCATAAAAATATTGTGATAGTAATATTGTTATAAAGATAAATAATGTTTATGAGTGTTTTGTTTTAAAGTGAAAAGTCGCCATTAAGCTATATCATTGTGCTTAAAAATTCTATATAAAATTTATGTTTGTATATCATCACTCAATAAGAATATGTTCACGTAGAATTTAATAATGAAAACGATGATAGGAAGAAGAAATAGCAGAAAAAATGGTAAGATGGTTATTTACAAAATTTAGGATATGACATCAACAATCCAGGGGCTAATTTGTAATGAGATTACAAATTTCGAGGAGGGGAATGCAATTTTTCAAATGTGAAGGGGATCTATATTAAACAGAAATCTCAGGAGATGTTAGTTTAATTTAACCATTTCTTTATTATTTCAGCTTGGAAAACTAATTTCTGTAATAATTCTACTACATTAATTATTTATCTTTAATCTTTATTTTAATTTTATAAATACAAATATATGTATTAAATGGTAACTTTATTCTTTGAAAAATCTAGAAATCCCCTAAATACTGATTTGTGATTATGTTTCAATTTAAGCAGTAAATAACAATCTCAATCAAACAATCCAGACAAATCGACACAATGATTTTACATGAAAAAATCACAATTTGAGTGCCTCAAATTGTGATAAAAAAACCACAGGCAAAAGTCACAAAACAATCCACTAAAAAGACATAAAGGAATTACACGTAGTTTAGAGTTAAGCTTAAAACAATATGCAAGTAGGTCTAAAAGCTTAAGCCAAAATAGGGGATTAAAAGCTAGAATCTCACCCTTAAAGAACACCTTCAAGAACACAACTCCAGCACTCTTTTCTGACCAAAACTAGTCCAAGAACACTAAAACCAACTCCTCAGTACCTCAGCAATAAAAGGATGGTGTTCTAGTAGGTGTTTGTGTGCAATAGTGTGAAGATTTACACTTTTGGGCACAAACAAGTGCAAGTGGAGAGAGAGAGAGGTAAAATATATAGAGAGAGATATAGAACTTGTATCTTAGATTTTTTAGAACCTCTAGAAAGGGGGAGGGGCCTCCCTTTTTATAGAATTTCAATTCTCATGCTTGTTCAACAAGCTTGAGTCTTGAATACAATCCCTCCATACACGCGTATGGAGGATGAGAATTGTGCTCACCAGCTGTCATAGCTGGCACAAAATATCTGCAAAAAGTAGATGGAAAGGTCTCGGCTCAAAATTATGGCCGATCGACCAAAAATAGTGTCGATTGACTTAGACACGTGTGTTTAAACGATTGACACGTGTGTCCTTCAAGTGTCCAAAGAGTGTCCAAGTCTTTAAACAATAGGACATGTTTTGAAGAGTGTCGGACACGTGTCCTGAGAGTGTCCAAAGAGTGTCGGTGTCCGACACGTACCCGACACGGATACGTCACCTTCCTAGAAGTGTCCGTGCTTCTTAGCCTCAACCTGACCTTGCACCCCAAGCTTCCAATGGAGCTTGTTAATTGAATAAGAAAAAGGAAAAAAATTTGCCCTCATGAGCCATGATATTGAAAAACATTCTAATGTTACTTCTACATCCAGAAACACGACATTTCCTATTTCCCTTTATTTACCTTTCTATTTTTGGCTCATGTGGACACTTTCAATACGCTATCCAAATGGTGCCATGTGATTTTGAAATTGCTTGCTTACCAAAGAGCTAAAGTAAAAAAGAAGTACACTTTTAAGGCAGCAAGGCCACTGCTAAACAGAAGTTGGTGCTTGAAAAACCAACAAGTTTGCATTTCAAAGATATTCATAAGCGTTTGGGGTTAAAAATACAGAGACAAGAAAAAAAGTATTTTCTTACAATGGAATTAAGATGTACACCTTTGAAAGCTAAAGTAAAAAAATTTAAATTTTAGCTGAAACAAATTGTTAGTATTTTGTCAAGCAAAACTATTGTTTATTCCTTACAATACTCCAGTCACAATCATCAATGAACTAATGCTACTCCAGCACCTACTAATCAATCACCTGATCCACTGTAGAGCTTACCATACAGCCATGCATGCCAAACCTATACCGAGATCACCATTACCAGGATCACCTTTGACAAACCTATGGATGCCTTTTGCAACAGAGCATATCACATCGGCATCACCACTCTACCCCATACTATCAGAGGCATTTTACCATGACACTATTGTCATCACTAGAACTGTGCCACCACCACTATCAAGCTCCCTACCACCAATACCATTAACAGTCACCATAACTACCAAATAAACACATGCTTTTTCATGGGTGGTACAACATTAATTTTTTATAGCAATCTATCAAGTATCTTTTCTATCAAACAATTAAATAGAAAATATAAGTTTCTTTCTTGATTCAAATTAGTATCTTCCAAAGGTTAATCCAATTGACATCTGACCAAGAGGCATCTTAAACAACTCTTTGCTTAGCATTTTGGAAGATACATTATTTCCTTGAGCAAGATAAGAAAAAGAAGCACAAATGGAAACAACACGAGATGAATCATAATCAATGTTGACTATCTATATGTATATATAAGTTGTGTATATCCATATGAATTTGAATGCATATGTTAAACGTAGGAACAAAAATGGATGCATGTAATACACATCTAAACTTCTGGCGGTTTAATGAATGAAGATTGAATTAAAAAACTGTTTAGCATTTACTGGATGTGGAGTTTTACCAATTACCAGAAAGCATGACAAAGCTTCTGGGTTGTGTGCTTTTATGTAACAGAATAAACAATAGAATAGATATATCATATATATATGAAGATGCAATCATAAAATAAATAAATATATATATATATATGAAGAAGATTCTCTGGATGGAGTAGGGCTGCACAAATAACTGAACCAGACTCAACCAACCAGTGTATGGACCGAATATTATTATAATAAAGCCTTTTCAGTTTCACTTAGACATTTCTTCTCTCTTATGTGTTCTGTACTTCTCAACCCCTTTCTCTCTCTCAATCTCAGTATGTCATTCTCAACCCTCAAAAAGCTCCTCCTCATGAAGAAAACCACAGATTTACATAGGGTTTTCTGACAAAATTGCAATCTGCTTCATGCGATGGTAGACTGATGGCACATTCATTCATTACATCTTCATATATATTCATTATGTACATCCATCTTCCTTGTTACATTTAATATATACATCCATCTTCCTTGTTCATATGGATAGTCAACAATAACGACAAACTGCTCTTTGTCATCTTTGTATGTGACAACAATCATTGGTTTTTAACCATGTGCCACTAAGACCTTGAAAGGCCACACCTCAAAGTCTTGCACAAAAGATTTCTATGTTGTTAATTTAGTCACAATGACAAAGCTTGTGTTAATGCCACCATTCGTGGCTTGGAACACACACCACATCCTGGTAACCAATATGGTTAACTTTAAAAACGACTTTTTAAGTGTTGTGAACTTTCCAATTCATGATCACCTTTTGTAGTTTCTACAATAGGTTATTCATCAAAATTGGCTGTTTACTCCAATCCCCAATTGGATCCAGATTCCAGAGTAATTTTTTATGTGAAGAACAACTCAAAGATCCTCATCTATAACCTCAAGTCATGCAACCTGTGCAGCTTCAGTGCGTTTGTACACGTCTTCAACAATGGTTTCTAACCACTTGGTGCTCCTATTGGCACCATGATCAGGGGTCAAGTGCAAACTCTAATACCCACTAATGCAGAGAAGCATTAGAAGTAGAAATTGCGGGGCAAGATCAACACAAACAGAGTCTAATAATCTGTTTAGTCTAAGAATACACAGGAATACCAGGCATAAAGGCGTCAAAATCTTTATTGATTCCGCAAAATACCAAAGAAATTATAATAGGTAGAAAAACCTCTCCAAATTTTATTAAGAACACAAAACACTCTGAATAGCTATAAAGCCAAAAATTTTATTTGTAATATACTAAACCTGATTCTTGTAGAATAAGAAACCAATAAATTAGAAAAAATAAATCAACACAAATTAGAAAACCTAGAAATTTTAGGCTATTCTATTCTAAATCAAAAGAGTCCTAATCAAATACAAATTTCAAATGAATAAAAATAGAAGTATAGATTTCCAAAAATCCCATCTGCATCATATACTCACAAAGATATTTAGAGTAGATGTTAGTTTTTCATAAATCAAGAAAACCTGTTTATATGCTTTCTTGCAAAATGCTAGGTAGAAAAATAGAAAACCCTTGCATGCTTTTACAAATATAAAACAAGAAATGCCTCAGTAATTTTCTTTCAGTAGAACAATGGCAGAACCTTTTCCATTGCAAAATGGGCAATCTGATTGGCTATGTACTAATGACTGTCACAATTTATAAATAAAACAAGAAGATTAAAATCATTCAAGTGAAGTTAAACCCTCAAAAGGTGTGCCCAATCTATCAAAAGGCGTGCCATCAAAAGGCGAGCCCAAGTCATAAAAAGATGTGCCGGACATGATGGCGAGGCGCGTCACCACATTGGCTTGCGCGCCCGTTTTGTCGTCTGGCGTCAAGTGGCGCATGATGCGCGTGTCTGCCTCTTCGTCAGGGTCTTTATAAACTAAGGCGGAGGCTGTGCTTGAGGCAGAAGCGAAGACAAAAAAACCTGGGAAAAAACTTCTGAAAAACTCGTCATTTTCGGAGAGAGATTCGTTTTATGAGAGATTGCCTCTAAGAGCTGCAAATCTTGAAACACTCTGTAACCAACCCTTCCGAACATTATCAGTCTGAAATTGCTATTTCGCTGAAACACTCAGCAACCCAAAAAAACATGGCCTCTTCTTCCCGTACAGCTACCCAGAATATGGCCTCTTCATCCCGTAGTCTACTCACTCTCTTTCCCGACCTCAACGAGTCAACAAGAGAGATAACTGGTGCGGTGGCCCGTGAACCTCAACAAAACACCTCTGGTTTTGCTCCGTTGAACTTTCCGATGCGGTCGGTGGAGCAAAAAATGGCGGTGCAAACTGATATTGAGGCCAATCAGTATACTTTGAAGTCATGTGTGGAAACCATGACTGCGGTCACAAACTTGTCGCACCGGCTGCAGAGTAGGACAAATGAGGTGCAGCAGTTAAACGCCCAACTGGCTCTGCTCCAGTCGAGGCAAGGTTGCCGCCCGCCGGAAGGCGAAGAACACCAAGATCTTTAACCTATAGCTCTGATACCATGTAAGAATTTATGTATTATTGATTGATGTATTGATATTTTACAATAATTCCTATATATAGAAGAGAGAATGTGGGAAGAGAATAGGTGAGTGTGTAGTAGGTATGGAGTAGGTAAGGAGTAGGTGGAGAGTAGGTGAAGTAGGTGAGTGTGTAGTAGGTGGTAGTGGTAGGTGTGTAGTAGGTGAATTTTAACAAAAACCTCTCCAAATTTTATTAAGAATACAAAACACTCTGAATAGCTATAAAGCCTATAATTTTATTTATAATATCCTAAACCTGATTCTTGAAGAATAAGAAACCAATAAATTAGAAAAATTAAATCAACACAAATTAGAAAACCTAGAAATTTTAGGCTATTCTATTCTAAATCAAAAGAGTCCTAATCAAATACAAATTTCAAATGAACAAAAATAGAAGTATAGATTTCCAAAAATCCCATCTGCATCATATACTCACAAAGATATTTAGAGTAGATGTTAGTTTTTCATAAATCAAGAAAACCTGTTTATATGCTTTCTTGCAAAATGCTAGGTAGAAAAATAGAAAACCCTTGCATGCTTTTACAAATATAAAACAAGAAATGCCTCAGTAATTTTCTTTCAGTAGAACAATGGCAGAACCTTTTCCATTGCAAAATGGGCAATCTGATTGGCTATGTACCAATGACTGTCACAATTTATAAATAAAACAAGAAGATTAAAATCATTCAAGTGAAGTTAAAACTAATGAGGGGATCTTGCCAAGGAAGGTTTATGCCAATTATTATGAATAGCAGTATATTAGCTATTCCAACCACTGCCAGGGGGGGAAAAATAATGCAGAGGAGCTGAGTCCTACTTGATTGGTTGTTTAGATTATCTGAAGGCATTGGCAAATCACCCTATACTTGTACTGATATTTCTACTATGCAAAATGTAGATTAAAGTATGGAAAATACACTTGGCCGAAGTTCTGGGTTTTTCCGCAGCATGCTTTTGACGAGACCCCGACTGGAAAAAAGAAATAGGTCAAACTATTAGATTTCACTAATTAAAGGCCACAATATATAAAGAACACAATTTCTTACAACTAAAAAAGCTAAAATTTTGTAGGCATAAAAAATTAGGATATTCATTATCTTTTTGTTATTCTCTTACATTATCTTAACAAACAATTGTTGGAAAGCATAATATGTATTGTTGGGCATCTTTCCTAATAGCTTAAGCTTTTGAGACGATTGATGATCTACCATGGTATTAGAGCTAAAGTTGAGAAAATCTTGGGTTCAAGTCACTTTGTCTACATTTGTTCCCTGTTTGCATTTTGTTACTCAATGTTTGAATGATTGCATCTACACGCGCAAGGCGGGGTTGCACATAAGGGAGAGTGTTTGGGAGCTTAATATGTATTGAGGATGTTAAAGAGCTTGATATTTATTGTTGTTTGTTGGGCCTCTTTGCTAGTAGCTTAATGATGTAAGACAGAAGATTAAGTGCTGATAAAAAGAAGGGACAAGATTAAGTGATTAAGTCCTCAAATAAAAGACATTAGAAAAAACCAAGATAACAAGAAATCTATTGCATGAACAGCCACAACAATTATGTAAAATAAGGAAACCAACTCACAATGCACCAGAGTATTTGGTTGGCAGTGGTGACACAATAGACTTATTTATTTTGTTGATCAGCGCTTGCATGTCCTGCTCCAAAACCCAATAGCATAAGCATAGCACTCTTAACTTGCTTGAAACCAAACCGAACATGTAGCAGAAATGAAATAGAGCAAAATACAAGTACAAAAGAGAATTCTTGAAGTAGAAATCCAAGTAATGATACATCCAAGTCGCCATAAAAGTTTGTGCAACTCAAAAAGATAATGTCACCAAAGTCACAAGCACCATACTGACGTAGTCATCTCCTTTTCATAAACACTAAGATAAGATGTTTTTCCATCCTATTACATCACCAGCTTGCCAAGCCCACCAAAAAGCCCTAAAAGTCTGATTGGAGGCATCCATTTCTACCTTAAATATGTTTATCAAAGTCGGTTAATTTTAGCAATGATCCGTAGTATCAATACTGATGAGTTTAGCATAGCATACACCGGCATACAGATCATATGGTTACTCAAGTGTTGCACCAAACAAACAGATCTGAGTCAGATCACATAAAGCAAGAACCAGCAATGCATTCTCTACATGAGATGCAATCACACTTACTAGATCATACTTTTTGATAAATCACTTACTAGATCATACTTAATCAAGCATTCACGCAGAGATTGCGAAGAACACAAGTAATGCCTTAAAAGCATCGGAGCAGAAACACCAAAGCAGATAAATGCTAGGCCATCTAAGTAAGACAACTCAATCTTTCCAGGGAACATGATACACAAAGTTCAAAGTCATATCTGTCAGTGTTTTAAAAGGCGCGCTTAGGCGCGTGCCTAAGCGCGAGGCGCGATGAGGCGCAATGAGGCGCAGCCTTGTGCTTCAAACAGGTCGAGGCGAGGCGCAATACGTGAGGCGCAGCTTAGGCGCTGAGGCGAGGGCTCTTTTTCGAGGCGCAAGGCGCGGGCTTCATGGGCTTTACCTATTTTTCTACTCCAATTGTCGATTAAGTGCTTTTTTTGTGGGCATACCTATAGGGATTCAAAACTTTTCAATATAAAATGACCAAATGTGGTCAAAAGAGAGCAGAAAATGATAAAAGATTGAATGCTATGCTTTATATCTCTTGTTAGATATTATATTTCTAATTTTTAGAAGATTAAATGTTATGTTTAGAGATTATCAAAAATTGTTATGATTTTTTAAATTATATATATATATATATTTTTTATCTTCAAAATATTGCCTATTTTATAATTTTGCTTTTCTTCTACTACTTGCACTTCGCTTTGGTGAGGTGTGCACTTTGCTTCACGCCTCGCGCTTAGGTTATAGGAGACCTTATCGCCTCGGTGCGCCTAAAGCCTTTTAAAACATTGAGAGGAAGGCACCTAGAGAGTTTTTATTTCTTTTTTACTCTTCACAAACATTTCCAAAGTGTTGTTCCAACTCTTGGAGGGTGAGAATAGCCTTCAACTTTCAACTCAAGTTGCAGATGAGCTCACTCCAAGGAGTAGTCTTGCAGCTCTTCCACTTGTGGATGGTATATATGTCGTCCCTTTAGTGTATTTGGTACATTATTATATATCACACGCCACACTAGTCTCCGTTATAGACATTTTGGTCTTTAGGATTGGTTCTCTTCTTGAAGTCCATTGTCTAGATTTATACTATAGTGAAGTGTTTAGGTTAGCAATTTCGTGGTGGTTGTTTTGGGTGTGGCTATCGAAAACCCGTGTTCTGTGTTAGTTGAGTTACGTCAGTGAGGAGCCAAGAGTGTATGTGTATGTAGGCAAATATGTGAACCCCTATAGAATCTTGTGTGCATCTCTTTAGTTTATGAGCTTTATTACTATTTTTTAATTTATCTCTTCATGCTATTGAGATGATTGTGATTCATGCATTAGCTTGTCTTGAAAGTTGATTAACTATAAATGCATGAGCCATTAGTTGTACTCCCATGTGAAAAATAAATATTGTGATTGAGTACATAATTGAAAATTGACCTTTCGTTGGTCAAAAATTTAGATTGAAGAAGAACCATATTTAGAAGTTGGCCTAGGTTGTGGTTGTAAACTTGATTGAAGAAAATAAATTGCTCTACCCAACCAAATACTTAAGTTGTTTACGACAAGTCAAATATCAAGTTTGACAAGTACCTAAAAATTTGAAATAGGCTCAAAAAATTTATAGAAATTTTAGTATCCTATTTACCCCCTCTTTAGGACATCTATTCACCCTCTCTAGGACACTTTCAATTTTTAGGTAGAAGTTTAACTTTGCATATCTCTTAAACTGAAAGTAGGCCTGCAGTATGGACGTTGTAATTTTTGGTGTATATGCATGTTTGTTTGTATACTATCATCAACTTCAATTTTAATGGCAATTTCCTCTCGGTTCTCCACCTCTGGTATCCTTTCAAGCAGTATTCTCGATTTATTTCAGTGCTGTCTTTTTGATGACAAATTGAAGGTAACAATGACTTGAGGCATATTTTGCTGCAGATGTCAACACGAAGGGGCAGTACTGAGGTCCATGAATTTGATGGAACGTTTTTGGGATTTCATGCTCATTATAAATGAGTGCTGCTATTAGCACCCCATCAATTATTTTGGACCCCTTATTTTTTAACTTTTTTTATTACAATAATAACCTCAAATGAAATTACTAAAAAGGACATCAAAAATTTTGAAACACCCCATCTCACAATTAAACTCACACACTCACTACATCATGAGTTAAGGTTTATGAAACCACCCACCTCTATCACCACCCATCCATCTTTCCCAAATCCCACCTTCAAAACCTACCCACCCTCAAAACCTTGAAAACCCTTTGGCGGCAATATTCCGGCAGTAGCGATAACAACCATTTGATTACATACACTTCTCCAACAATGATAATGAGTGGAAGTTTTTCCAACAACCACAACTCCATGAGACGAAAGGAGTACAACAATAAAAACTACGAAAAGATTCATAACTTTGATGGTGTTCTTAGCTTAGATGAGTTTGGCCTTGTAAGGGTAAGTTTCTTTAAAAAAATGGAAAAAATAATAAAAACTGTTCGTCATTTTTTCGGGACTGAACTTCCGAACATATGACCAAAATTCGAGAACACAGGTTCGAACATTGTTTATTTGTTCAGGATCAGATAACCGAACATTTCTTATTTGTTCAGGATCAGATAACCAAAGCATAGCAGAAGCAGACAAACAAAGAAAGTCAGACCACCATTGGGTGGTTGAATGGCCGATTGACTGGGGGTGATATCCTATCCAGTTTTGCTTACATGAAGAGCATACAAGTACAATAAGACAATGGATGAATCACAAAAAATCAACCAGAGAAGCATGAAAGTGGATTGTGTTGTGTGTGTGAAAGAGGAAATAGAAAAAAAAAATTAAACATATTGACAAAACTTGTATTGAAGTAGAAAAAAAAATTCTTAATCACCACAAATTTTTTCCACTGGTTTTGGGAGGTTCTATCGTCATGGGTTTTGTTAGGGTTTTGGGAGAGAGGCTTTTTGGGGTGTCGGGGGTGTCGGGGTGTGCATTTGAATGGGTGAAATGTTTTTACAAGGATAATTTTGGTATTATTTAGGGGGAGAAAAGAAATTTTAAGGGTTTTAGAATTTATAAGTGGGGGTCCAAAATAATTGATGCGGTGCTAATAGCAGCACTCGGGGAAAATATAAGGGGGTGGAATCCACCACTTGAATTTACCAAAATGCCCTTTTTTTCTCTCTCTTCCTTCTCCATCCTTCCTTTCCTCTACAACTCCGGCAACCACAACCCTCCACCAACCACCCCTTCCTCATTATCTCCACCACCCCCAACCACTTCTCCACCCTCCCCGCCGCCATCCACCCCTCCCCCACGCATTCATAGAAGACGTCATATTAGGCAGAGGAAAAGCAAATTGAGAAGAGGAACTGGTGGCTTTGGCATTGGATTCGGCAACTTTCTCTTCCGTCTTGACTAGCAATCCAATTGGAGCACCCACAAAGGAGATCTCACCTTCTCCAAGAACTACCAACTCCCCCTATCTCTCTCTCTCCCTCTCTTTTCCCCCTTTTTTCCTTCACTTCCTTCTCCTTTCAATCTTCGCATTGCCCTCAACATCTATTCTCTCTTCTGAAATACATGCGTGCTTGTGTGTCTATATATATCTATGAAACACGAACACTTCTCCAGAGACATCGCATGGGTGTCGGACACGTGTCGGATACAGACACGAACACGGACACAAACACGCGATGGACACACGGACACAAAACACGCGATGGACACGTGTCTGACACCGTCTAACGTGTTTGGATTTTTTTTTTTTTTTTTCCCCCCAATCGGACACTATGTGGACACGCTCGAACACGTAAGGGACATTGCGGGGAGAGAGAGAGAGAGAAGAAGTCACTCACCTATAAACCCTGGGCGAAGCTAGCGAAGCTTTTGAAGGCCCTTATTGAAGCAATCGCAAGTAGATTTCTCTCTATCTCTCTTTTTTTCTTCGTCTCTCTTCTCTCTTTTTCTCATCCTCTTTGTTCTTTTATTCGAGTTCTTCTTCTTCTTCCCTTTTGTTTCCTTTCTCTCTTTCTCTCTCTGTTTCGTCTCTCCGTTTCTTTCTCTCTTTATTTTTTTTCCTCTTTTATGAGGTTAGCTATTGGATAAGTGAATAAAAAGTTGCAAACTCTCTATTTTTTAATATTCATCTTTGGCCCTCATTTAGAGCAAATTAATTTTATTTAAAATAAATAAATTTCTTGAAGTTGCTAAATTTATTTTATTGGGTAAAGTGCTGAAATTGATTAATAGATGATGGCTAGTTGTATATATATTTAAAATATGTTTTAATGTTATTTTGTATTTTTTATTACTTCCCAATTTTTTTAATTTTATAACATATAATAAATAAATAAAATTATATATTTTGAATATGTCCCCCGAGTGTCGTGTCCTCTATTTTTTAAAAATTTGTGTGTCAACGTGTTCGTGTCTTGTCCGTGTCCGTGTCCGTGCTTCTTAGATATATATAATAAATAACTCTTATAGAGAGGTTTGTAATGAAAAAAATTACCGAATTGCCTCTAAAAAGTACATGTGACGCTCAACTAGTTGTTTTCCATCAATATTCTCAACGGAACCAAACAGAAAGACCACATTGAAACAACCCTAAAAGTGTAGGGTTTTATAACTTGAAATTAGAATTGCAAGGACCAAATCAAACTTAGTTACAACAAAAGAGACAGTTGGTCATATCTACACTACACACAAATGAGCGTGTTCGTGTCTTGTCCGTGTCCATGTCCATACTTCTTAGATATATATAATAAATAACTCTTATAGAGAGGTTTATAATGGATGAAATTACCGAATTGCCTCTAAAAAGTACATGTGACGCTCAACTAGTTGTTTTCCATCAATATTCTCAACGGAACCAAACAGAAAGACCACATTGAAACAACCCTAAAAGTGTAGGGTTTTATAACTTGAAATTAGAATTGCAAGGACCAAATCAAACTTAGTTACAACAAAAGAGACAGTTGGTCATATCTACACTACACACAAATGAGCATTATAATGTCACAAAATAGCAAAAATACTAGTGCCTCCATTTTGTAAATTTTAATAGATACTGCATTTGAAAATTATGAAAGCATATGTATTGTTCACAGATGTGACGTAGTTAAGTATCCATGTCAATAAGAGGGTTTGACCATACACAGTAATAAGTAAAGGAACATAATTACCACGTGTTGTTCACGGAGAAAAGAGATATTTAGCACATAGCGCTAACAGATAAATAAGAAGACAGCTATTCCAACTTACAAATGCTTTAAAAGCAGGCTTATGAGCTGTCATTTCATATATACAGCATCCTGATGACACAATCATAAGATCCAATAAGTGCATATTCAGCTAGAGAAACTACAAAATAGGCCAAGTTTTAACTTCCATCCATGTTTGTATATACTTATGTATGTAATTGTGTGCATATTCGTAAAAATACTTACCCAAGGACCAAATGTCAGACTTAGAACCATATGGAATGTCAGAAAGAAGCTCAGGGCACATATAGCTTGGAGTCCCTACAACCTGAGTTATGAAATACCAACCTTGACTGATAAAACAATAATGCAAAGTATAAATTTGAAAGACAAACCAGTTGTATTAACCACATGACTTACAGATGAGGCAAGATCGTCCGAAGTCAACATCTTAGCGAGTCCAAAATCACCTGCAACACTATTGATTAGTGGTGATTCAGTAAAATAATAATCCCTCTCAAAAAAATGAAAGAAAGAAAACATATCACTTACCAAGTCGTATGTCTTGATCTTTTGTCAAGAATATATTTGAACACTGCAAGAAATTGAACACAACTTTCAGGAAAATACAGTTTCAGGATTTTCAGAAAAGATGACTTGTAACTCCACAAGTGTACAGGTAGATGCAACTAACCTTAACATCACGATGAAGAATATGATTCACGTGCAAGTAGTTAAGTGCCATTAGCAGTTGAACAAGCCATTTACACAGCTTCTATATATATTTTTAAAAAAAAAATGCGGGCTGACACGGTTAAAATTTGCACAGAGATAGGAAGTAGAATGCACCATATTGCAAGAGCACAAAAGGAGGAAAAAAATAAATAAAGCAAAATAACAAAAACTAGAAAAATAAAATAAAATAAATTAACCTCTTCAGAAAAAAGAGCACAATTGGCTTTCTTTATAGCTTCAGCCCTGTAAAAAACGATAGTGAAAAGGATGATTTTATACAGATGGATTTAGCCCCGTGTTGTAACTGTAACATGAAAAGTGACTTACATGTCTCCTCCTTCACAATAACCTATGACAATGCACACATAGCAGCCCTGAGATCCAAGGCAATAAAATTGTCAATTGCAAACAACAAAAACGACATAGCATGTGCAGCTATTCTGAAACACATGAAAGATTACTAACAGAGCATGAAACTTTTAAAACAAACAAACAAGTAAAATAAAGTATAACTTTTAATCTTGGAAAAGGTAAATTGGCATTCAACTGTACATGTGAATTTGAATTAAATGTGTCCACCACAGATTATAAATGCTAGATGTAAAAGCCAGCTATACAATGGCAATTCAGAAATAATTCAAGAAGCTCATCAGGTAAGGTAAACTCATAATTTTAGGTTCAGGATGCTCATATCACGCAACATTTTAATTTTAGCAACTTACAGATTGATATGTTATAAATGTATATGCCAGCTGAGGGTATGTTAAGAACCTAATCCAAATATATATACCGTAAACTTACAGATTGATATGATATAAATGTATGCCAGCTAAGGGTATGTTAATGACCTAATCCAATATACAATGGCAATTCAGAAAATAATTCAAGAAGCTCATCAGGTAAGTTAAACTCATAATTTTAGGTTCAGGATGCTCATATCACGCAACCATTTAATTTTAGCAACTTACAGATTGATATGTTATAAATGTATATGCCAGCTGAGGGTATGTTAAGAACCTAATCCAAATATATATACTGTAAACTTACAGATTGATATGATATAAATGTATGCCAGCTAAGGGTATGTTAACGACCTAATTCAGAAAATAATTCAAGAACCTCATCAGGTAAGGTAAACTCCTAATTTTAGGTTCAGGATGCTCATATCACGCAACATTTTAATTTTAGCAACTTACAGATCGATATGTTATAAATGTATATGCCAGCTGAGGGTATGTTAAGAACCTAATCCAAATATATATACCGTAAACTTACAGATTGATATGATATAAATGTATGCCAGCTAAGGGTATGTTAATGACCTAATCCAAATATATGTACCCTATACTTGAGACAATAAAAGGTAAACATGCATTCCATGCATCATGCATATCTAATGTGATAACCCTGCAATTAACCTGCTTCACTTGAACTCTAACTATGTTTAACCCAACCAAACAACTTTGCTATATTAATGTCCACAATGAAGGTGTTAATCCTTTGATCATTTCAAAAGATCATAGAAAAAACCCAACCATACGTAATCATTGTATGGAAAATTCAAGCAACTCTGGAAAACTAAGTAGCACACTTTCAAGAAAGTGTAGTGTCCCTGTCAGAAGCATGTTGGACACCAACACTCATTGGACACACCACAACATTTGTCAAAGACTCCAAATGTATCATATTGTATTTTTAATTCTTCCAGAACACATTTCAGGCATTAGCACAACACCTCTGTCCATCAATAATACATGAAACGGATCGCAAGTTTGAAGAAAATAACTATGGATCCAATGATAAAAATCAAAATAACATCGATTTATTAGGATTTTTAATTTTAGGAATCATAAAACTTCCAATTTGTTTTCGGAATAGAGCTTTTTAAAATAGATGTTATTTTGTTCACAATTCTCTTTTAATAGATAGAATGTGAAAAATAACTTCTTACTATATTGATATAATAATATTAATATATATGTAGTGTAAAAAAATAAGAATTAAAAAAAGAGTAGGCCTTGTTTGGGAACAGGTTTTTTTAGTAACTTTCTGGCTTTTGGCTAAAATGTGATGTAAAAAAAACTAGTATGTTTGAGATGACTTTTTGGCTTATTACGAAAAGATGTGTAAAAAATAGAGAGAAAAGGAAATTTTTGACTTTTTGGTATGAGTTGTTAGCTTTTTGGTTTTTTTAGTAACTTTTTTGCTTTTTTGGCTAAACCGGTTGCTTCCCAAACGAGGCCTAAGTTATTATTTTCATGTCTATAATACATATACATTTACTTCTTGCTGTGTCTATGTCTTGATCTTTTGAAAATTGCTATGTTGACATGTCCATATCATGTTGCATTTGTGTCTCGTCTCCACATCTGTGCTTCTTGGATGAAAAAAGACCAATCAATGTCATGTCACTATAACTTTGCATTGAATGCACTGATGTTGCTAGTACGTCACCGACTGGTGTTGCATATTCAACCAATACCCTCATGTCCGCAATCAATAGGTAGCACGTTTCTACAAGAGTATAAAACCTGTGCATGGCCTTGTTTATTTGCAAGATACAAGGGGGGAAAGCGGGTTGACAGGATTTTATATACGGTGGAGCCCACATGTTTTTTCATGGCCCCTATTCCCTTTTGCTTGCACAATTTGCTCTCAATATAAAGGGTACACTTATTTATATCCTCTAAAAGGGCAGAAAATGTAATACCACCTCCCATAGTATTACATATCCCCTACCATAGGATATAGAACTATCCTCCATCCAACACTAAAAAACGATGACTTTCCTCTTATCCCATGCTATATCTTACCTTATCCAAACACGGTACAAGAAGGGCCATAGTAAATGCCTAACCCTTATCCTCGGTATTAAGTTTCATAATGTGAAGACTTAAGACCAACTATAAACTGAGGTAAACTCGGAAGCGTATTAAAGTACAATCAGCAATACAGGAATGATTGCATTGTCAATTGAACACCAAAAACAGCCAAAAGTAGATGTTCATGTATCCTTTTAGACTATCAAAAACAAAGGATTGAAGAAGATAGCATTGTTAATTGAACAACATCAATAATAAAAGAGATAATATTTACTGACCTTCTCTACCCAAGAATCTTTATAATCCACAATAAACGGATTCCTCATTTTGGAAATAAGCTCCATCTGCATAATGCAGGAACAAAACATATCATTGTATAGTAATCTGGCAATGTTTATCTGTCCAAGATAAATACTACAGCAAGGGTTTAGTACATAGCAAAATCAGCTAAAAAGTATAAATGTACACATGCTAACGTGCCAAGCATGCACAGATGTGTGTGCATTATTAAAATGCACTTCATTCAATATTTAATTAGGTCTCCAACCATAATTCACGTTTCTATATATTTTTGTAGGAACACTAAAAGTATTTCCAATGTTTATAGGTTGGTGGTTTCAGCTCCCTGTTTTACAGTATATTCAACTTACCATTGAAAATTTTATAGCACACATTTCATCAGAGTGCATTTTAATTTTTGATAAATTGAACCTAATGAATTTGGCAAGTGTTCTTTGAAAGAGCCATAAACAAAACTTGCCTTAATCTAAACAAAATCAGAAGAAGAAGATATTAATAGCAAAGCTTTCATTTCACTTTATTTTTTGTTTCTTTTTTTGACAAATCATTTGCTAGAACAATTTAATTTTACAAAAATGGAAATAGTACAAAGAATACCAACCTCTTGGTGTGCAGATCTACGGCTCCTATCAGTTTGGCGGGCAAGCCGAATCTTTTTTAACACATACCTTAATATTTGGAAAAAGTGGAAATGGTGAAACCAATTAATTACCCAATGAAAATTAAAAAAAAAAAAAAAAAAAAAAAACATCAAACATTAAAAATCTTAAACATCAAACATTAATAATCTTTCTCATCATTGATTAATGCATACATATATATGCCATGTAAACAAGAAAAGGAAATGAAAAGGGTAGAGAAAAGGTAATGAAGAGTATGTAGTTTTGATGCTCACTTCTTCTTTTCAAGCTTATGCCTCACGAGAAGGGCAGAGCCAAAAGACCCCTTCCCAATTTGCTCTAAAATTTCATACTGCTCCATTTAGCTACTGATTGGTCTCCTTTTACAGGCAAGACCCAAAACTCTTCAGTCCTATCACATATTTTCAACAACCATAAGTTATAACAAAAACCAGCAAACTTATCCATACATAAGAAGAATTTGACAATGCCAACAAAGGAAAGCAACATAATTTATAGACAAACTAAAGGAAGTGCAAGAAGATAAAAGTGTGCTACTTAACAGAGAACATGATATAACTAGTACAGACCCTTGAAAGCCAAGACATAGCCAAAGACAACCCAAAAGTTTGTAACAAACAGCAAAAGTTTCTGACTATCTAAGCAAATGCTTCTCAAAATTTAGGCTTTTAAATATTTGTATACATGTCACATTGCTTAAATATAAGCATTTTGGTACAACCAAACAAAAAAATTAGACGAAGCTTACTCAATCTGAATACAAGAATGCAAAGATCAGAGGGCACTAACAACCCTAGATTTCAAATAAAGTACGATTTTTTATTTTTTTTTCAAATAATGCCTAAATGTTAAAAAGTAATTACAGTAAAAATTCAAGAAGCAAGTGTAGAAGCAAAAATTTATCAAAGAAGCGGTTACTGGCCACAAATTTCAGATCAAAAAAATCAAAAGGATCAGAGAGAGAGAGAGAGAGAGAGAGAGAGAGAGAATGTATTATAAATGTTACTTAGTATTTGAAAAATCAAGAAACTAAGCTCGAATCACTTGACTGAAAGAAAATCTGAAAATAGCAAATGACGAAATCCAAACTGCACTACGATTCCCAAAAACTTGAGTAGTAGTAAACAGAGAGAGTAGCATCTGAAAAGAGAGTGGAGGGAAGAGGAAGGTTCACTCACATTCAACAGATTCGTAGAAAGAAAAGAAGAGAAAGTTGAAATGAAAAGAAAAGGTAGAGAAAAGAAAGCGATAGAGAAAAATCAACCTGGAATGTGGAACAGTGTCGAAGAAGATAAGATCACGAGATGCGTTGAAGAGAGAGAAAGCTAAAGCCCGAGTTTGACATTTGCGCAGAAGCAACCTCACTGTTCGGTTCCAGAGGTACAGGACGAACCATCTCCTCCACCATTGTTGTATTTTAGAGAGAGAGAGAGAGAGAAACAATAATATATTATTATATATTTATATCTATATAGCTATACAGAAGCAGACAAATTTAGAGGGAGATTAGAATATAAGATGAGGTTAGAAGAGTTAAAAAACTTGTCATTAAGATCCTAAACAATGAGGTTTTTAATTTTATTCTAATGTTGTTGTGGATCTTTATGCAAAGGGGAGAGAGAGAGAGAGAGAGAGCGCAGTGGGCTACTGTCAGAGCAAAATTTGGCAGCTTTCTTGAATAATGAAAACGGCAATGATCCAGAATATTAAAGTCAAGTTTAGAAAGTCTTAAATAATTTATTTTTTTATTTTTTTTATTATATTATTTTTTTATTTTTTTGTATATTTTTTTTATAAAAAGATAAAAAATATAATTATTTAAGTTATTTCAAACAATTCTTAATTTTAATATTTTAATAAAATATTAATACTACTGTGTTGGGATTCCAGCGAAGTGACCGCAGCACCTCCAATTTCATGTGAGCTGTGCTTGCAAGATTTAAAATATATATATATATATATTTTTGATCACTTGCATGCATATATATATATCCTAAATCTCCTAACTAAACACAGGAATAGAAATGTAATGTAACGGGGGGAGGGGAGGATTTGGGTCAAAACCGACCAAAAGGAAGACAGGGTGGGCCTCAACCCCACACCCCTCAACTGTTTAATCACGAGGCTATTCACCCGGTCCTTTACTTTTCCATGACGTGTGTTTGCCGTTTTAACGAAAGAGATATATTAGTCATTTTCGCAATGGCTGGAAAACAATTTGGACGAGTTATATCTGAAGGTTCTATATTTTAATTTTTTGTGTTCTTTTAGTTTTTATATTTTTATTTGATTTAATAGTGTGTTAATTTGATTTAATTGATAATATTATTAGTATTTTTTAAAAAAATTATCACTAAATTAATTAAGATTAACTTACTAAAGTTTTATAATTTTATCTTAAAAAATATGACACATAACTCTTATGTACTTATTTTCTATAACAAAAAATTAAGAGATGGAATCAATTTGACTAAATTAAGACAAAAGAATGAATTTATGATCAAAATCAAGTCAATTAAAATTACAAAAACTAAAATAACATAAGAATTAAAATATAGGAACTACCGTCGTAATTCACCTAAAAAAAATTATAAATTAGTTCCAACAGATTAAATTAATGTTTGGAATTTACTTATTTGATATTTTGTTTCGTCTTTAATTAAAAAAAAAATTAACTTATAGAGTCAACTCAACGAGGCGAACATAAAATTTTAAAAATAATCGAAAAAAAGTCAAAAATAAACAAAAAGCAAAAAATAGTGAACTTTGTTTTTTTGCTTCTTCTGGCTTTTTTTAAAAAATAAAAATGTTTAAAACCCACCGAAAAAACCTTCCACAATTTGACCGCAATGATGTGGCATGATAAATGTTAATATTTGATTTGTCACACACTCAATTGTGTAGGACATATCTCCCTTGCCATGTCATTGTGAATAAATTTAGGGGTCTAACTTGTGGGTTTCTAGCATTTCTCTTTCAATAATTATTTTTTAGATTCATTTATACAAGACGGATCAAAAAAAAAACTTGACATAATTTAGAAGAAAAAAAATTACTAAAGACAAAAAAATTAGAAAAATATGTGACTTCTTATGACTTTCAAACACCTCCTAAATTGTACGTTTTTATTAGTTTTCAGATATTATTTAAAATAAGTGAATTGTATTTTAAAATTCGGCCTATAATTTTATAGTTATAGACCGTATATATCTAGTTTGTTATTTATCGTATATTCAAGCATCTTTTTAGTATCTTATATATATTTATAAATTTTTGACCTTTTTCTCTTGTTAGTGTGCCATTGTATAATGATAGAACTAGTTTTAAATAATTATTATTTGTAAAATGATGACATTATTTGATATTTGAGTATATTTTGATTATATTATAAAAGATGACAGGATTTATAAAAAAACCGTGAATTCAAACCAAATTGAACCTCATTTTCTTGGTACAATTTGATTTGGTTCCAATATTTTTATGATTCAATTTGATTCCTAATTTCATAGAACCATAAGTAGTAATTTGGTCTTGATTTATTTCAAAATCGAATCATGTTAACCCTCAATTTTCACGGCTAACAAAATAAAGAAAAAAATTACAATAATAAAAATTTTGGATTTTTATGATAATTAAATTATGAATTTTTTATTTTATTAATTGAAACTCTAATCTTTTAAATTGGTCACGTTACAATCACTCATTCAATTCTATTAATTAGACTAACAAGAAGAAAAAAAAAAACTAATTTTGTCAATTTAATACACTTCTTCCATTTACACACTACATATAGACACATATTATGTGTATATACATATTTCGTAACTACCATATTCTCCACCATCACTACCGTTTATTCACTTGCACCACCACCACCACCCCACCATACCATACCATAGCCTCCTTTCCAGCATCATCCCGCCACGCCCCACCCTAACCCCAATTTCCTTTCCCTTATCATTCATCATTCCACCACTTCTAACACCATTTTGCCACCCCCAACTTTTATTTCCCCACCATATGCAAATCTCTCACCACCATTCTACTACTTCCAAATCAAAATAAAAATCCAAAAAACACGACACAACACAACACAATACAAAAGTGAGGAAGGAGATTGTCAATTTTGTTGCCAATTTCAAATCCTTCGATATTGCTACGTCCACCATCTCTAAGGTTTTGGATTTTAAATGGCGATTGTTGAAAAGGGGACGTTTGGGAAGGGACACTAGAGCGGGAGTTCTAGTAAAAAGGGTAGGGTTTGAAGTCAACAATGGATAATGAATAAGATGTTTCGAAACTGTTTTTGATAAAGAGTATACATTTTTTGTTCAGCTATCGTTTCTAAGAATTGGTTTTATGAACTTTGTTCAGAATTCTAGTACCGAACAAATTACATTTATTTTCTTAGGTTCCAGTGCCAAACAATGAAATTCTCCGATATTATAACTCTTAGCAAATCACATTTGTGCGACGGTAGTGGCCAATGAGGTCCGACAGTCATGGGCTACGATAGTAGGCAACAATGTGTAACTATAACGGTTCCAGTTTAGACCTGTCTTATCTCTTGCCTTTGAATTCGAGAATCCATATTCTTAATTGTTGTTCATCTCATTTTCATCTTGTTACTAGTTGAGTTTGGTTATTTGGGAGTTGTAATTGCGTTGAAACAGGTTTGGTATTTAGTTTTTCAAAGAGTTGTTGCCCAAATTTTTGCATGTTCGCTTGAACAGTCTTTTTTGTTCTTGAGCGGTCTTTTACAGTCTACAAAACTATTGAAAGTGTGGTATCTTTGCTCGAGCAGTATTTCTTGTGTTCGAGCGATCTTTTGCAGGTCTGAACTTCTAGGAGGGGGTTATTGTGCACTCGAGCGGTGTTTTTGGTCGCTCGAGCAATGTCACTTATTGTGTCTGACGCTCAAGCGATGTTTTGATCGCTCAAGCGATTTGCGCATATATCAGTTCGAGAGAAGGCCATTTTGAGTCACTTTTTCATCTTTTTCTCTCTCTAAACATTTCAAAACCCGAAATCTTCACTCTCTCTCTGTCTCTCTAGTTCTTATACTTTAGCTCCAAATACTCACAATCCATTGGTTTTCTTACCGTAGCTCTTTGGAGAAAAAGGTTGAGCGCCCCAAGGGCTTCGTTCTAATTGGAGAGGTTGTTGTTTTCGGCTCCGCCAAGCTTCTACCTTTTTCTCTCTATTTTCTTCTACTTGAGATAGGGATTTCTTCAACCTTTAATATGGTTCTTAGCTTAGTTATTTGCTATTTGAAAAGAATTAGTGATTTAGGGGTTTTTGGTTGAACCTAGGGTTTGGTTTTGGAAAGTAAAAGAGGAGTTTTTCAAATAAATACTTAAGAATGTTGGGGAAGGGTGTAAATTGTTGGGTTGTGTTGAAATTTTGGAAACTTATTCTTTAAATGAGATTTTAAAGAATAAAGGAGATTTTGTTGGAAAATCATTGATATTGGGTTTATAGAAGTAAATGAAAAGTTGTTGGGCTTTGAAAAGATATGGAGAATGTATCTGTTGATGATAAGAGTGGAGTCAGATATTTATTAGTGCTTCCATTTTGAAATTTATGAGATTTTATTTATTGTTGAAAAATTATCTGTTGAGTAGAAATATCTATTTTGGGCTATTGGTGGAGAATAGTCTTAATTGTTGTAGAAATTGCATGAGGATTAGGTTAAATTGAAACCAACTTCTCATATATTAAGCATCAAGTATCATTTTAGACTTGAACATTGAAAATGTATTTGTTTTTGAGAAAAATGAGTGTATACCTTGGTGAATCTAGTTAAGGGGTGTGGTTGTGGTTTATATTATTGGCCTGTGTGTCCTTGGTGAAAGTCCAAAAACCCAGGCGACTAGGTGTCAATCTTTCCGGTTAGTACCAATAAAATAGTCTTGGTAATGCTTGTATAGCCTACTGGCAGACCTGTACCTAGAGATTCTCAGTGTTTTGTATCCACTGCCTTGTCAGTGTTTTGTATCCACTATCATGTCAGTGTTTTGTATCCACTACTCTGTGTTCTATTTTAAAAGAATTATTTTCATGAATTGATTCATAATCGGGCATTGCATAGTTTTGAGATGGAAAATGAGGAATGTTTGACAAATGGCATGCATGTGCATTCACCTTATGACTTTATTAAGATTCATATTTTGTGTTAAAGTATCTCTACTGGGTTTTGGCTCACCTATGTAGAAAACAAATTTCAGGTGCTGATGATATGTCTCCACTAAAGATGTAGCTTGTGAGGACTTGGAGCCAAAAGCTTCATTTTGTTTATTTGATGTCATTATTTTTGTTTAAGTCTCGTACTTTAATCGTATTAAGTTAAATTCATTTTGTTGTACCCAAACATTAACTTGAAAAGATGTAGCCATTAGGGCATATAATTATTTGGTTTTATTTTTATTTTAATTCATGTATCCCTACTAT